AAGGACTCCGACACAACATTTAATGATATAAAAGAATGGTCTAACACTACTTTAACTCTCACTCGCAGGCCGTGACCATTAAATTAGAAGGATAGACGACGGAGAAAGCGCTTATTTGAATGACTGTGGTAGCGTATGTGTTTGTACTGCCTGTAATGTTGGTTACTATGCTGAGCTTATACACCTTATTCTAGCTTCTGGCTAGGTTAATTTATTCATTTTTCTTAAGCCATGTTCTGACCTCGGTAGTTATTCACTTACCAACCCTGACTGTTCTTATATGAGCGTATGTGTGTGTACTTCTTGTCCTACTCATCTGATGTCTGCAGCTTATTTTTGTATGACTATAAATATCGCTTAACACTTGACTAAGTGGATTTGGCTCACTCGCCTTCTCCATCGCCCACCACTTCTGTGCGCTCTCTTCTCTTTGTTCCGTTAACTGTAATACAAACCCACAAATGACTACCATAGTAGCTAAACTCAGTGCAATCGATTGACTAGACTATCATCAATTGGACATCTTCAAGTACTGAGAACCATATCAAATATTTGAGAAGTTAGTACAAAGAAATAAATAGGTATGTACAAGCTCATCTTAAAGACATTGGATATTGGATTAACCGAAGGTCAACTTTCACTTCGTTGTGGATACATAATTTGAGGTCGTTGTAACATTTTGAAAGATCTGAACATGCTAGGATTTGGTGAACAGACAGAAAATTCTACTCACATTCGTGACAACTTGAAAGCTGAAACCCCTCTATTGAATAATGCAAAGCGCAAACTAGGATTAAGAGATTTGAACATTCAGCAGCATGTCCATCTGCAGTCAGAAATAATGCGACCCTCTAAAACTCTAGTTCCCGAAAACGTATATAAGGAAGCATGTGAGAAATTCTGTGCATATGAAGACAAAGGTTGTGCTCATACAGAACAGCTTTTATTTCAGATGACTACGGTGATTTATGCACTCGCCTTGATAATATAAACTCACTCGTGGATGGAGTGATTTCTCTTTCCTGCATGAGTCATTCTTCAGATTTCGTTGGATTTTCAATGAATGGTGAGGTCTGTTGTTTTTCACTAGTACTGGTAGACGATGGTGATGAATTTGATCCATCAGATTTCGAAATACCAGATTCTGAATTCAACACAATGTTCTGTTGTCTTGGCTAGAAAGTTATTATGTTGATTTAATTCGTTCTCAGAAATGCTTTAGATACAAGTATCTCACTATTGGGTGTCAACTCTAGTTTGTTCCCATTCAGCCTATTTTTTGTACCATTTACGTTTATGTACCCTTTTTAACCTGTCAGGTTCCAGCGGTAGATATTGTAAGCTGGAACCTCAATTAAATTATCTTTAATGTGCTGTACAATCTTCTTGGCTTTATGAATATTGGGTGGTAAGCGAGGCACTTAGGTATACTACACAAAAGTCAATATTGCACTATGAAACCGCTTCACTTTTGTTGATTAAAAGATTCGTCAATCTTTATCTTGATTTTAGTCCTTTTGATATTTCGTGCTATAGAAGGATCCGTGCGTGTATTTGCGTTATCTGCAACCGGTGTTTTACGTTATTTGAAGTTTGGCTGTTGGATAGTTTGTAATATTGTTCTCTGTTTAACCCAAGGTCACATTTAAGTTATATTCCGAATAGGAGTCTGATGTCAACTGCTCTCAACAGGTGTATCTGAAATGGAAAAACGAACTCAGTGTTGGTAAAAATCTCTTACACGACACAGGCGTCAATATAGTGGCTCATGAAACTATGCGAATGCCAGTTTAAGTGATTTCTAATTCTTCCTTGTGTTACATTGTTGATTTAGTTATCTCTTACGAAGCACCTTAATGGTACTTTTCAGAGACATGACTAGGTCCCTATCTTCTACTATAAAGATTCAACAAATGACTTTTGTTTACAAGCAGCAATAAACGTGATGTACCCAGAACTGATCATTTCAGTTCACATTAATACTGTACGATTATGGTCTCGTTTGGAGTTTACGGTTATTTGCGTCCTTTCTATCGTCGTGAGTTATAATTTAAATGATGTCAAACTTCTCAGCATCCGCTCTAGATTTACTTAGTTTTAGATAATCTTTGTAGCATAATTAGTGGGGAAAGTAAGCAGACGTCTAAACATTTCCTACAAAAGTTACTTCATTCCACTTCTTTTATGTACTGTACTAGTATACTTGCTGTAGTTAAGTTGCCTGATGTTGTTCATGTCTCTGTCTGTTGTGATTAATTGTATATTGTGGAATCTGTTGATATTCTTATTTTAAAACTGCTGGTAGATGTTCCTTTACATAAAAGTTAATAAAAGATGGGGCCATTTTGATAGGTAAATATCTTACAAATAATCATTCGAATCTTGACTCATACAAAACTCCAAAGATGATTATATTTTAATGCTCTCATCGATTATCTACTTTGCGATTGTGAAAAACAGTGCATGTTTTAAGCTTGCGTGGTTGCTTAGGAAGAACGTTTTAGTTCTGACATTTAATTCTGATTGGAAATGAAATTCAGTCGTAATGTTTACCGGTTGCATTTCTCTTTAAAGAACGATGCTAAGACTTACAAATAGCGTGGATTTTCTGGTATCTTTTCGCATTATCCTGGCTTACTGGTTATATTTACTGGTTTTTCCGTCCACTCTTAACTACAAAAACCTATCGGAGTCAAGTGGAAAATCATGTAAGGTTTATCACGAAAATTCTGTACACATAAATCATGAACTAGAAAACATTTACACGAACAAAGTTCTCGGAAGATACTTTCACTTCACTTTAATAGCCCTGACGTCAGGTTTGTTAATTTAGTATTTTGGCGATAGAAAAACTCAAGATCTCGAAATATTGACGGAAGTCAAGGTGTGCATTTTGTAATTGAGATATAAGCGTCACATCATAACCTATTAGCATTCAACCCTCTTAATATGAAGTGATGAGGAAGGTTCAGCACGTTAGCTTCATTTATTGACATATGTTTTGAATACAAATTCAACCAAACTTCACAACTGGCGAAAACGTCTTTCAGGAATTATTGCATGCAGCAACAGACGTTCTTCGAAATTTTCCATCAATTTTCAGATTTGTTGCGTAATGACCTAATTGTATTTTACCGTGATGTCATATTTTAGATACTGGGTTACGCAGTTTTAGCCACCAATAGTATGTACTCATCACCTGTTTGTTTTTGTGGTTGGTGGTATAGTATTGAAGTAGAAAACAACCAGTTGTTGAGGTTGAAGACAGAAGACCAACAACTCGCTTCAGCGCTCACTATGCGGAAAATTGAGGAAGCTCCTCAAGAATGGCTACCCTAACAGCTTCACCATAAAGTATCTAATGAATTACCACCATTAAAGAACCAACTCCGGAAACTAAAGATGTTCAACCATGTATGAGAAATGTTTCGAAAACCAGTACAAAGATTCTGAGGCAACATCGTTTACAAAGCTGTACGATCGCTTCATTCTATTCTACACAGATCAAGACAATAACGAAAAACCCACCATCTACAAAATAATTGCATCAACTTCAAACAATATTCGATTTGACAAGCGGTCGTCCCCTTCACCTATGTACAAGTGAACATAGGTCAGCGGTGGCCCGGCATAATTTCCCATCACTTATATTAGTGCCTCCAGACAACCATGGAGATTAATTTAATCAGAGAAACATTAAAACTAGGATCGAGAAAACTCCGAAAATGCCAGCCAATTTCTCAGGAAATGACATTTAGACAGATAAGCTATCAACAGAAATCGGTATAGACCCGATCTGTGAATCTTTATGCATGTGATCAAGGCCAAGAGTCAACTGTTAGAAATAATTACCATAAATACAAGGACACATGACGGGGAAAATATCTACTAATACACCCAATAACAAACAAGGCCATCGGAGAAAACCGATGTAGCACTTGTTGAGCAACCGAAAAGTCCACTTATATACACAATAGGCTCTAGAGGTGTTCAAAATGACAACGGGCATTCTCTGGTGCCATCAAAGAACACCATCAAAATCGTCGGCCTGAGCTGCTGATCTTCATAAACTGCAGTGAATGGAATACGTTAGCTCTTTCTAGACGTCATGTGATTTGATGTTATTTTAATGAAAGTTAAATTATAGTGGAGGATTGATCACAAGGGATGCACTAAGACATGGATGGAACCCATTTATTTTGTGAGTCTTTCTAAGCTGCAGGACTCGTTGGTAAGATCTAAGAACCGTAATTACTAATTACAGACTAGATGACGTATCCTTCACCTCGTTTCAGGTAGTTTGTTGCCTATTATTCCATCTTTTTTGCATGTAATTCTGTACTATGGTCGATGTGGACAGTGATTTGATATAGCAACCAAACAGACTAGCACACTGTTGAATGCCGCCTCAACTTGCTCCTGTATATGTAAAAGGTTCATACCGAGAGCTCTGCGCAAATAGACCAAGCCTGAAAGGATGTTAGTCACCAGGATTCGAGTTTGGATTAATTTCTTGTGTTCCAGGTGAAACGTATGTCAGATCAGACCGTTGTGAAGTACCAAATATCAGTCATTGGACAAGACGTACTTACCTACTTGACTTGATTGGCTGGTATGCTCCTTGTCACTATGTATATGAATATTTAATCATCCAGAGGGACATTTACAGAATGAAGTGGTTTTTTCATATCTCTGCTGGTTGTCCTAGTAGCATCATAAAGTACCAAGTACTCCAAAATGTTGTGTTAACTTAGTATGATTACATGAATAATGTTTTAGCATGTGTTACATGTATGCTTATTAGTGTGAAAAATCAGAAAAGATGTTTTACAGGAAACAAGACACTGAACTAGCGGGTAATATGAACGTAACTCGAAACAAGATTCCTGTGTAAACCGTAACAGTAATTGGTGGGACGTCTTTATCTAGTCTTCCTCCGATTTAATTATGTGACAAAATATTTACAAATCATAACTCAAATAAAGAAATTCAGACTTCCGGTTAAACTTCTTTTCAGACATTTACATCTCACATTTAGAAATGGTTCATGTAAATGCATCTATTTAAATAAACTTGGATACAGTGAAACGAACTAATATAGAGCTACCGTGTTACGGTACGTTTATCTATGAATTTAGTATTCACCTTCCTAATGGAAATTTATTTTATTGATAGCATTGACTAAACTAATTTTAGGTCCAAGATTGTAACTAAGAAGCTTTATCGTAGTATATTTTCAATAAAGAAAGTAACGATCAACTGGATATAAGTTGTGTACATTTTCACCATATTCATTGTAATCAGTCTCAGCCATAATACGGGCGCTTCTGTATGCTTCCTAAAAAGAAAAAAAAAACAATTTATTTACTGACTTATTGAAGTCCAAATAATTATGAAGAAAGATAATCTCAAATTATGATTTTCACTGTATTAGTTTTAAAGAAACGTTGAAAACTAATATACTAGGGTATTGCATAACTATCACGATTGGATAACCCGAATAGCCAACTTGAAAATTCGATTGCGAATTTGTTGTTAAGTTACGCTGACACGAGTATAGTTTTCTATCCTTTCAAACTTTTCAATTTTTTCTTTATTCCTGCTATAACTTGCAAAGAGTGTGACAACAAGATTCATACTTATCGGTACATACATAAAAATAACATATATATATATTCTCTATACTGTTTTACTAAAATGGAGTTTACAGCTTACTAAAGCAATCGGGTTTTTTTCTCTATCAATCTAACTTAGTTTATTTTACCTAGTCATCCGTATTTTGAATCTCGTTTTACAAATTACGAAACCATAATTTGCATAAAGTGAAACCGATTTGGGATGTGTGATATAGTCTGCAAAAATCGTGTTACTTTCAATTATTTTGACGGCGTGAATTTACCGTACGTTAAAAACAGCATAATGCATTCATTGATTGTAATGACGATGGGGATTATAAAAATAATGGGAACGTTACTGAATCAATCTCTCTGATAGTTTCGCGCTTTAAGGACAGAATTTTAATACCTAACAAAACATTGAATTCGTTTACAATAAATCGTAGTTAAGGCTGTCAGTATCTCAGATTCAGGATAACAACTTGTGCACTTTGCCTTTTCAAAAATTAAGCACCTTAAGGATCTAACCTTCCTCACTGTACAGACAAATCTTCAAAAGTATGTAATTTTCTACCTTTCATTATTTTATAACTACAGTAAGTATATTTAAATTTGCATGAACCTTAAACGCAGTACAAACACGCATATCTGTACCTGTAGTTACATACTATTGTTAAACTTTCAACGAATTACTTTGTAACAATCAGATGGCATTTTTCAAACTGATATAATTAAAGTAATGTAGACAGCCTTCGTTGGTGAGCGCATTTATGTTTAAACAAATAGGTCACTAGAACATATTATTTGAATTTTTATTTGCAATTCAAATTCAGCTGTATGATTCGATAAAATAAATTCCCTTAACATTTTAAAAAGCAACCAACTAATTAATTACTTGGATTATTACTTTTTGAACGAATGCATTTTCTCAACCAAATGTCAATTAAATCTTCAATGTATGGATCATTTGTACGATAATCGCTCGTGTCTCTAAAAGCATTTCTTGCAACTTCCGATTCCATTTGACATATAGCTGTGACTGAAATAACAGAAAATAAACACAAAGGTGGTTGTGTATGTTGCGCAAATTCCGAAGTACTTCATGACATTTTAAAGATGACAGAAACTGTATAGGGGTGCTTTCTGGAACAATCAATGTAAGATGTGTTTAAGAGAAAAAAAGCCATTATAAGCAGTGAAAATATGCTATATTTTGGGTGAGTTCCAAATTGTCATATTTATTTATATATAATGCCAACTTTCTCAACAACTAATGATTTATTTAGTTGTTATGATTATAAAGTGTAATTACAGATTGTTGAATTGACGCATTATTAATGCGTAGCTGCGATTCTTTTCTAGTGCAGAATATCTATGTCATCTACTTAATGAAACTACCAGGGAAGTCTTACTCACTGCCTTCTCTCAATGAGGGTGCTTTTTACGGAATTAAGTAGGCGAAAAGCAAATATTCGGCGCTTTAATCGGGTTGGTGGACACGGAGGGTCCACCTCGGAGAGTTGAAAAACCCAGATTCCAAACCAATGGTGCACATGAGCCTCAGGATCCTGAGTGGACAAAAGACATATGAACCTACTGTCGATCACCGGTTACCATAAGACTGCATCTCCTGACGCTGCTCCACTGACTTGTGGACTAGACTTTTAGGTCAGGACCAGCGGGTGTGACCTCCTAAGAAAACCGCCGGCTTCGACTTAGGAACCCGGGTAGTAGTATCACAGCCCTAGCACAACCCGAATGATGATTACTACCGGAAAAATTAGTATTGCTTCAACTCTTATTCAGACAAACCTTACTCACAATCATTTGATAACATTCCTTCTTATTTCTTTTATACTTATGTATTCCTCTATGTTCTCATTTTACGTAGTTTATTTTTCAATTAAAACACCAGCTTGATTATGGTGGAACCCCTGTCCCGTCTAAATGAAATCAAATCACTGACTGGTCGAAAATTGAATGCTACCACCGACTAAGAATACTGAAACCACATATAGCATTCAAATTGGCCTCCCTCAACGTTCTCACAATAATGAAGACCGGGCAACAGATATAATCGGCTGTCTTTAAAAATTCCTAATATCGATGACTGTTGTCTATTCGAGACCATTATTCAAGGCTCTAGTGAAGTACTACAAATTCTCTCTCCATCTTTTGCTTTGGAAAGCTCGTTTCGCTTGCATTTATCCGGGGACCCTGTGGCATATTCGTCCGGTTTTGTTGGCGTTGATGCCGCACTAAACGCCAGAGCTGAGGCAGCACTGAGAGATTGGACCCCCATTAAAAGTCGGTTATATGCCGTGAGATTAGAAAGTTCATCAAAGCACGGAAAAATCGGTGTGAGAAACAATGTCTTTTCCTCATCTCCGCATACGTTTCGAAAGAGCGCAGCCTAGATGCGATCAGTGATGAGTTTCGCCATCAATTAACTGTCCTTCTACAGAAGATTCGTCTGACATGTATTGTGGTACTAGCTGGAGAGTTGGATGCTCAAAACAGAGTCGTTTCGGTGGCCAATGAGGAATTGTTGGTCTCAGATCAGATAACGGTGACCGTCTACCGCAACTGTGCGCGGACTACAAACTGTTTCTCGTTAGCATTGACTACCGACACAGTCATCGCTGGTGTGCCACCTGGTGCCCTCTTTCTTCATCTCAAGCTTGGACTCAGATTGATCACATCACAACCAGCTACCAATGATGTGGTTGTGTACGAGACTGCCGCTTCTCTTGGAGTACCTATCTGGACTCTGACCATGCCTTGGTCTGCGCCAATCTTACCTTACTCTTCAGTGGCCAACGAAGTGACCGCCACCAGAGGATTGATGTCAGCAAGTTGGTTGCAACTTCTGTTGCAAGTAAGTATCGAATCGAGCTAGTTTCTAGGCTAGCTACCATTCCACCGAAAGGTATAGATGAGCATTGGTTGCAACTTCGTGGCTCCATCAAAATGGCGAGTAAAGCCTCTTGCGGATTCGCGAAACGTCCCACTTATAAGCACTGGGTTTCTTCAGGCTCCTTACAACTTATCGATGCCCGTCGGTCTACTCCAGGTGACCGTGAGTTTGACCACAAACGGAGGATGTTACGTAATGAAATCGGTCAAAGCTTGCGTAAGGAACGAGAAGCCTGGTGGTTGGAGAGTGCTAATGAGTTGAAAGCAGCAGCTGCATGTGGTAACTGCTGAAAGCTCTTTCAACTCATCCAAGTCACTGGCAGCAAGAAGTTTGGTGTGAGTGAAACATTCTGTGAAGATGACGGGATGCCAGTTAATAACATCTGTCGACGTCTTGAACGTTGAGCAGATTTTTCCGGAGAGCGGTTCAACTGGTCTGCTACCCCGGCAACACCGATCAAACCGTCCTACCTTCCATGGCCTGTCACGACTGACCCACCTAAAGAGGCTGAAGTCCGCAAGGAACTCCGAGTCTTGAGGCGCTACAGACCACCAGTCCCATGTGACTTACCTCCGGCTCTTTTTAAAGATGGTGGTGACTTTTTGACTAAGGAATTGACGACGTTGTTTACAAAGGTTTGGGAACTAGAGAGTGTACCAACGTCATGGAATGAGTCGATAGTTGTCCCTATCTTTAAAAAGGGTTCACGTCGTTCCTGTAACAACTATCGGGGGATAAGTCTACTTCCGATTGCGTCCAAGCTATTGGCTTCCGTCATACTTCGTAGGTTGTTCAAAACCCGAGAAAGATTGACTCGCGAGGAGCAGGCTGGGTTTCGTTCTGGTCGAGGATGTATTGATCATATCTTCACCCTCCGCCAAATGTTAGAACACCGCCATACTTATCAAAGGCCAACAATCGTAGTGTTTCTTGACATCAGGGCTGCCTTCGATTCGTTGGATAGGACTGTTCTCTGGGATTGTCTATTGAAGAAGGGTGTGCCTGAGAAGTTTATTAACATATTAAAGGCCCTATATACAAACACCTCAGGCAGAGTGAGGACATACAACCACCTCTCTCCATTGTTCCATTCACGAAGTGGGGTTAGGCAGGGTTGCCCAATCTCACCATTCCTCTTCAACTTTGCCATCGATGACATTCTGGAAACAGCTCTGATGGATGTAAGTAATGGTGGTGTGGATCTGTTGCCTGGAGAAAGACTTCTCGACCTTGAGTATGCGGATGATATTGTCTTACTGTGCGGTAATGCCCAAGGCATGCAATCCGCACTTAATCAGTTGGCAATCAGTGTCCGTAGGTATGGTATGTGCTTTGCACCTTCGAAGTGCAAAGTACTTCTACAAGACTGGCAGGATTCTAATCCTGTACTCACCCTGGATGGTGAGCAGATAGAAGTAGTCGAGAAGTTCGTGTATCTAGGTAGCTGCATAAGTGCTGGTGGTTGCGTGAGTGATGAGATCAATGCACTAATAGTGAAAGCCAGAGGGGCTTATGCCAATCTGGGCCACCTTTGGCGCCTTCGTGACGTTAGTCCGACTGTAAAAGGTCGGATCTACAACGCGTCGGTGAGAGCAGTTTTGCTCTATGCTTGTGAAACCTGACCTCTTCGAGTTGAGGATGATAGATGACTCTCTGATTTGGTCATCGTTGTCTCCGAAGGATTGCTGACATTCAGTGGCAACACCATGTCAGTAATGCAGAGGTCCAGCATCGTGTGTTCTGGCACAGCGACGATAATTCAGTTAGTGTCACCATCTTGAAACACCGACATCGGTGGCTTGGACACGTCCTACGGATGTCATTCCGAAACTGGTACTAGTTGGTAAAAGTGGAGAGGTGGTCAGTGTATGACATGGTGCCGCAGTATGAAAGAAAGCTGTTCAGGCTGGCTTCTGTTGGACCTTCACTGCTCCTCGGCTGGTGTTCTTGAGGTGGTGCAACGTAGTGGTTAGAGACATTATCAGACATGGCTCAGAACAAAAGCCAGTGGCGATCGTACTGCAACCTTCTTTTGCTTTCTTCATAAAAAGTGGTTGTATCCTCCTATACTGAAAGAATTCTTCTGGTTGTACCTTTCCGTTTCCCTCATTATTATTATTATTATTATTATTATTATTATTATTATTATTATTATTATTATTATCCCACTATCATACACTGACTTCTGTTCGTTTTTGTTCTATTTTTCTTATATGCACTTTACTTTCTCTATCCGTTCACGTTCTCATTGTTATTATGTAGGACATACGTATTAGGTGCCCCTTTGCGCTAATGTTTATGTGTTCAAATAAATAAATAATAAGTTAATTAAACATCTGTATCTTGTTGTTTGTAATTTTAATTGATATAGTTCTAATGAATTAATAAATATTTAAGTGTTTGAAGAATTCCACAATTGTATTAAAGAACAGGGAATTGATTTTATAGTCAATTCAGCACAACATATACATTTATTCACCTAATATATTACTATATAGAACAACTTTAATTTATTAGACATAACACAGTCCATAGTCTTTGAATAATAGTAATTCCAGTTTAATTATCTAAACTGTTTAGTTATTACAATAAGATTGATATTTAAATAAAAATCGAGTTGTGTTTTTAGTGAAACTAAAATAAATAGAGCATAAGCCTAGGAGTCATTTACTTTGTCCATTTAATATTATTATAGTCAATCTAATAAATAGATAACTAAAAGAATTTATAACTGTAAACTATTAGTCAGATGATATGTCATATTATAAAGAATCTCAATACACACAAACAACTACAACCACAAATCCTATAATCTGATCTTATAATAACTTCTTCAAATTGACAGAACCTAACAAATTTCCAATTAAAGAATTTCATAATAAGTTTAATTAAATGCAAATGTTGTAGATTATTAAATAAGGGTTTGGTTACATGATTTCTAGTTAGTAAGTCACATAGTCAATACTTTTCACATCTACTTCAATTAAGTCAACCACTTAATTTCTATAGAATTTATATCATTGAGAATATAAACAAAGTGACTCTTAACAAGAAAAAAGAATTAATTACAAATGTAAGTGTTAAGATAGCGGAAATAGCATATAAACATGAGCTTATTCCTT